ATATATATATATATATATATATATATATATATATATATATATATATATATATACACACACACACATACACATACACATACATATACACACACGTTCGTGGGCGCAAAACAAGAGCGCGTCTGATTCAGCGGGAAATCGAGTCGCGCTTTTCCTCGCGGCGTTAAGCCGCGCTTCCATTCTGTAAAATTCGATTTGGTTTCTCGGCGCGGTCTTGCCGAGAGTTTTATTAGTTGTATCCTAGCGACCGCGCACGTGTGGATGTACCTACGAGACTTCGATTCGTTAACTCCAATCTCGTTGCTCCGACGTTTCCGGCGACGACGACGATGGCGGAGACGACCGACGGAACTCGGCGTGTTCGCATAGTTCTCCGCGACGAGTGTCTCTCCATACGACGGCATGCAACTCTCGTGCTTCTCACAAGACGTTTCCGCAAATGTATTCCGATACTCGTCTCTCGCGTTTCGCATCCCCCCCCCTCTCTCTCTCTCTCTGTGCCTTCCTCTTTGTTTCTATATCGTTCTCTCGACTGAATTGCGAATTTACATTATATCTTCGTCCGGAATTGCCAACAGGTGATCAACGTGTTAATGAGTCTCGCGTCTCAGCGCTTATTAGAAGCCCTCTCACAAATCCCGACAATTCTAAATATCCGAACAAGAGGGCGCGCTATAATTTCCCAGCAACTTTGTTCACAACTTTGTTAACAAACGCCGACGGAAGTTGGCGCGAGCTCGCGTGAATGAGCGACTCTATGCTGCAGAATGCGACCCAAGATACTTTCCGCGACGCGTTTCTTCCGCGTGTGACGCGAAAAAGAGAGAGCGAATCATTTTGCGCCTTTGGCACGTAATACACGTACAGATTGACGTTGAGGCCTTTCGTGTGCGAGATTGCCAACAGGTGATCAACGGGTTAACGAGCTGGGGAGCGCTTAAACTTTAGACGCGGAAAGCACTTGCTCAGCCTTCGCCTCTTACGCAGCCGAGCTACGAAAGTTGGCAGGTTGTCCGAACTTTTTGCCCGCTCGCCGGCAAGTCGTTACCGGATGCGGCGCGGATACTAGTTTGCCGGTACGAGAGAGGTGCCGCGCAGGTTCACCACACATTCCTACAGGAAATTTATCTACCCCCCTCTCTCTCTCTCTCTCTTCTTCTTCGTCGATGTACGCTCACGCGCCGTAAGATTCACGGCCGAGGAAACGAGCGGGAGCAACGAACGGCGGCCGTCGTGTTTCATCACATTTAAGCACGACGATAGTTAACTTGGCCTTTTTGCAGGGCCCCGAAGCAGAGAGTTGGCGAGAGTTAAAATTTAAGCACGCCTTCCATTTAAATTCGACCGATAATCGCGCCCGGTCGACGCTAAGCCGTCCTAAATTTTGGACGCAGCCGGCGCGCAGCTCGGGCTTAACGTCACTTGCCGAGGATAACCGGAATATATTGTTAGCTCGAGAAACAAGGAAGCCAAGATGCTGTTCTTCGCCGTTATCGCGGAAATTATGGGAGATAATTGTAAATAAATGCCCGTACCGCGGCGAACTAATTCGCGATTTCTCACGGCGCGAGCACGCTCTTTCCGTAGGAAATCCCCCGACTGAGAATTCGCCGCAACGTCGCGAGTTACGGCAACGGCTGCCGAGTGTCGCGAAGATATCTTTTATCTCAAGCAGCGTAAAAATGTACAGCGATAAAAATGTAATAATGGCGAGAGCCCACGTTTGATCGTGGAAACCAGAGCGCGAAATTTTCCGGCCGGGCTCGCGCTACGATTCTCATGGCGCTTGAAATTTTCGTCGAGCTCGCAACGCGAGCTCGAAGCTTTAAAGCAGCCCACTACACTGTCGTTATTTCTACCTTTTTTTAATTTGTAAAACCCGCTCGGTCGAGTTCGCGAACGAGGTGAATTCGCCGGCGTAAAGTATGGTCGAGATTACGAGTATTGGAGAGCAGCAGCACTACTGCCACGCTACCGATCAATAGCGCCGCTACAATACGCTTCCTTCGACTGGATCGACAAGTTCTCGCAATTTCGATAGGTAATTTCAGAAAAATCGCGCGCTTAATGGCAAAAGTTGATTAAGGTCGCGGGATAAATTAATCTTGGACTTTAACCCGCGTCTCACGGAATGGGGAGAGAGAGAGAGAGAGAGAGAGAGAGAGAGACCTCGTTGGCTGTTGAAAATAATCTGGAAATCGTTACCGATACTTTCCCCCGAGATATACGCGTTTCTCGTTACTCGCGAGAGAATCGAAGTTCATATCCATTACGAATTGTCAATATTACAGAGCGCGCGTCTCATTTGTTTGTAGCCGGTCGGCTGCGTGTTAGTTTCCTAACGCTGGAAACACGAAGATCCATTCTCAGCGGATTATTATTTCACGTCGCCCCACTGGCTATCGTTTCAGGATTTACCCGCAATTCCATTCAATCCGCCGATCCGCGCGGCCCAATTTATCCACCGCCAATACATACGCTCTTCCTTTTTTTTGCCCGAGCTTGTCTCTTGGCCGATCGCTAAAACTGAGTGGCGGAGAAATCGCTACCGGGTATCGTCCGTGAGAAACGCCGGACCATCGGGTGAAAAAACGGAAATTCAACGCTCGAGTCACCGCCGTTCCCAGCGACCTGGGAGTTT